GTGTATGGTTTCTCTCCAGTGTGGATCCTCATGTGAAACTCAAGACTCTGTTTGTTTGTCAAACTCTTTCCACACTGAGTGCAGGTGAAAGATTTCTTGGCTCTTCTTTTCTTTAAATCTTTCTGTTTGGTTTGAGAGCGACTCAAAGTTTTTTCTCCAGTTTTGACATGTTTCTCCTGCTCTTCATTCAGTTCTTCATGCTCCTCGTTTTCTTCAGTCAACTCTGAAATTAAAGTAAAAAAACATATAACTTTCAGCAAATTACAGAGAGAAATGTGAAAAGAAGACATAAAAGTGAACCCTGATATAACAGTGTGGAGTAGAAAATTGCTAAACAAAATATTTTGATCATTTTGATACATTTTTATAAATTATATGTCCCTGAATCTTTTCTGGAGTGAGGTACATTGTTCTTCCAGTTATACTTAATAATAATAATTATTAAACATTTTAAAACATTAGACACAAAACCCATGTTTCTATAGTGAGAACCCTTACTATTTGCTGCTTCAACTATATTATTGCACAGCTCTATATATCTTTCCTATCACAACAAATCAAAATCTGACAAACTGTTTGATGCTTTACAACCTTAATGTTCATCATCACTGAAGAATCAAGAATAAACACCAACCTGTTTGTTCTTCAGTGTGTTTCATTCTGCAGGGTTCAAAGAAAAAAAAATGTGTTAATGATTTTGTAAGCATGTTGCAAAGTTGCTTAAGAGTCAACTGTTTTATTTATGATAACAATGCGATGAAACATGCCAAATTGTGCGGTCATAATTTTTGGCCATTCTGTCACACGAAGAAATTATGAACACATGCAAAAACAAGAGAGGACCAACAAAATATTAATAACTGATTATATTGTAGTCAGTGTAAATGTTGCCAATTTAGTGATTTTGTCACTAGATTTAGTGACTTCCTCACCCCTTTTGAGACTTTTTTCAAAAGCCTAGCAACCATCAATTTCAATTTCTTGGACAAACCTTATTTAGATTCCAAGACTATTTATATAGATCAGTGAACTCACCATTATGACCTCCATCTAACAACATATAGCAATTGTTTTAGTTACTTTCAATTGAAAGCAGTTGGCAACACTGGTCAGTGTTTTTTTTTTCCCTTTCTTATTTTGATGATTTAAGTGAAATGTGGAGTCATAAAAAAAAATAAAAAATCCACATCACTTTTGGCCACTGTTGTGTTTGGTGGGGTTACTGTCACAATATTTAAGTGTGTCAAAATTCTAAGAATGACGTAATTTTACTCTTATTCCTAGATTTAATAATAAGGCCCCATTTACGCTAGTGTGTTTTCGTTTTAAAACACATAACTTTTGCAACGGTTACGCCTATCGTTTACACTACTCTGGCGTTTTCGACCCTCGAAAACAGACTTTTGAAAACGCTGCAGACCCCGATTTAGTTTGAAAACTTGGGGGTTGCGTTTCAGTGTAAACGAACCAAAACGAAGACTTTTGAAAACGATGGCGTGGCTGCCAACATTCGCTCTGCATATCCTTGACGACCGTGTAAACAATAACATCATGCTCATTGTTGTACCCATAGATATGTAGGGGTAGATTCCCCATTCGACCTCTCGAAGCACGTAGACGCATCCGCCATCTAAATAATAGGGAATCTACCTATACATATCTATGATTGTACCTGCATGAATGGTCACGTGTAGGGCTGAACGATTAATCGCATTTCGATAATATCGCGATATGACAAAACGTGATTTTTTTTTTAACCGCAAAGGCTGCGATTACATTCTCGTCACGTGACATGCGAGAGTAAAGCAGTCTGCAGAGGAAGCATCAACTTGGCACACTAGGCATATGCCTGGCCTACAGAAAATCACACTTTGTTTAATCTATCTAATATTGTGTTGGTCATACTATACAATAGAGATGGGAGAAAAGATTCTCAAACGATTCTGAGCTTAATTTTTTTTCATATATGATGTTGAAATCCTTGTGGGAATTTCAGAAATATATATTAGAAAATAAAGGCGTCAAGCTTGAACAAATTTATAAACACCTAGCTTATTACAATTAATGTATCATGTAATGAACAACAGCCTAATCAACCAAAGTAGCATAACGTTTTAAGTAAAACGGTTTAAACAACATATTTTAAATATCGCAATGCTTAATAATAGTTGACAAACGTTTGTACATTGTAAATGTTAAAAATGTTTTTCAAAATATTGTACTTTTCCAAATATAAAAATTTTAAATACATAAATATTTAAAATACAACCATGTGTAGGCCTACTGCAATATAAAGTACATTAAAAACCCACTAAAAGTGTAATCATTTTGTTATGTTCTTACACAAAGTAGACATAAAATATACTAAGTAAGGGTAACATAAGTAGCCTATGTTTTCTGTAAATAAACTAAAAAGTCACTAAAAGTATGCTTGTGTTTAGTTTGCGATGTAATGGTTCAACTGATTCAGAGTTTCAAAAAGCTCAGTTTCAGCCATTACTACATGTGCTTTTTAAAATCATTACAAGTGATGTCGAAATTTGAAAATGAATGGCTCTTTTGATCTGGGCCCGTATGCATAAAACGTCTCAGAAATGCTCTTAAGTATAGTTTTAA